TGCTTCGTAATCGAACACCCTTAACTGCCGCTTCCGCATATGTTCAGCTGACCGAACGGCCAACTGCCTTTGCGTGAACCCAATGTATTTTTATCCGAAACTACATGTAAATTCATAAATACAGTTTGATGTGGCGTGCGTCGGCAGAATGTCTTCGGCTGGTCTAGCGGGAATAGATGTTGGAGTGCTCAAGAACAACAATTTAGAGGCGGTGTACGTCCGTTCAATCGTACTTCGATGTCGTCGCATGATCAAATTTGACACATTATCACCTAATGAAAGGGAGGTAGATGCTCACTGGTTTTTTTCGGCACAGATATTTCCACAGGATTTCCTTGTCTGGGATGGCGATGCCTATCGATGAACTTCTACGGATACCCGCTTCCAAGAAAAACGTTCTTTAGGAAACTAAATTCGTCGTCGATCGTATCTGAAGAACAGATCCTATTGGCTCTATTGAAGAGGCACAAAACCAAGCTTCGTTTTCTCTGAATTAAAACGGAACTGAGGAGGTGCATATACTGTCCTTTCCACATGGTTTTTCGATAGATGAATCTCTAAATGGAACCATCTGCTCGCCTACGTACAAGAATATCTAGGAAAGGAAGTGTGTCGTCTTTCTTATGCTCGATCGTAAATTTGATCTTTGCATGTGCTTTGTTCATGACTTTAAGTAATAATTCTTCGTCCCTTGGGTTTTTGACTATGGCGAAAATGTCATCCACATATCGCTAAAGAATGCGGTTTGCTGTAAGTTTTGAGCTAATTTTCGTTCGAGACTTGACATGAAAATGTCAACAAGGACTGGTCCCATTGGACTGCCCATAGCTACACCCCCGATCTGTCGATACAACTGCCGTTGAACAGGAACTGCAAATTCTTCGTGCGTATCTGTAGTAGTTACCACAGGTGTCCAGGTGCCAGACATGTTTCCGCCGCAGTCTCGCAAATTATGGCACGTTTTTAAACAGGCTCTGCACGTCAAGCGAGATCCTGTGCTTATTCAGTAAATTCTGCTTCTTTAGCTCATCCACGAAGGCGAAAGTATATTTGATAGTGTGGACGAGAAGGTTACGCCTGATTGGTTCGATTTGTTGGACTGAATATTGGGCGAGTTTATGTTGAGGTGAAGTCCTCATTGATAAAATTGGTCGTAAGCGCATCCCCGGCTTGTGAAATTTTGGTAGTCCGTATTGTCTGGGAATATGTGAACCTACAGGTCGAAGACAGGCAGCCATGTTCTCATCTGTTATTTGCCTTTCGAATAGCGATTTCACCTTTTTCCAGATAATGTCTCCCAGTGCTTTCGTTTCTTCCTTCCCATGGGTTTTGGGGGGAAATTTGCTGAAGTCATTCAAAATCGTTTCCATATTACTTGCGTAATCGGTCTTGTTTAGTATTACGAAACCACTTTCTTTATCAGGTCTTAAGATAACGACATCAGTAGTCCTGCGTAGGTTATTTAGAGCAGGGAGATGTTGTTGAGTTAATAGTGAGCGTTGGGTAACCGGGGACGTTTTATACTGATAGGCGATATCAACGACTTTTGCCTTCAGCTATCTCACATTGTTTTCTGACGTCGGCGTTAAGTCCAACAGCTGGTGATATAGGTCTTCAAATTGTGCTTCAATCTCCGTCAGATCTATTTTTCTTCTTGATACGCTAAATTTAAGTCCTAAAGAGAGGGTTTCGGCTTGCAGTTTACTCAGCGTCAAATCCGGCATGTTAACAATGCAGTCATCTGGATTTAATTGCAACGATTCGTCTACAGGTTGTTTGTTTAGCGATTTGATCAGATCAGCATGAAACGATTGTCTTATCTTCGCTTGCGCGTTCAAAACGTGTTTAAGAAATAATGATCAACACAACGGGCTCACCGACTCCATCACATGCTTTGAGTGATCTAATTGACAGCGCATTTGTGAGAGCGAGTATTCACATTCCTCGAGTTTCGAAAGGGTGGGTTGGTCAAGATTTTGTGCTGTGGGGCGCAGACCATCTCTTGGTTGATTGGGGTAAGTTCGAGACTGTCTGTAAGACTGTAGGAATTCATACCTGGTCTTTTCTCGGTTAATCTTGCATCTTTCGTCCATTATTTATTTAATGTGCAGTCTAAGGTTCGTGTCCTCTTAGATAGGATGTCTGGCCGCGTTTTACCGGCCAATGAAAAAGCAGACAGAGCTCGGCATTGATCAGTGCGTAAATTAACATATGGGTAAATACTGGAACGGTTGTCGCAACACTCCATTTTCAAGCATATCAAGGTCTTTGGGGATAGCATCGGTGTTGTATTCGTCGATGTAGTCTGGTTTTGGAAGGCAAAGTTGAATTTCCGGTTTGTGTTGGAGCTCCGGTCTAGAACGCACACAAACGATCGAATAGAGACAAGTAATAAGGGAGATGGAATGATCATTTGACTTATTTTTCGTCAGTTTTCAATCATGTCCCAACCCCGCGTTCGAAATGCCTAGGTCTGAACCCGGGTACAACTGAGCATGAGTCAGTCATCTACTACTGATTCATGAGATCACCCTCCTCGACCAACATCGAGATTGTTCAAATTCAGATTTAGGTGGTGCTCGCCGACTAATTTTGGTCGTAGGGATGAAATTTTTTGTAGCGACCCCTTGCAGCTTAAGGCAGACGTTGTACCACGGAGACACGAGGACACAGAGTCGGATTCCCTCGGCTACTTTCAGGCTCTTCCTGTCTGAAAAGTGTGTATAATAATATAAAGCGAATCGCTAAGTTAGGAACTGCTCAAACATGGTAACCCGCTTAGGAAAAACAGACACTCTCTTCTGTTGGCTTGCTACATTTGACATCATAAAACAAAACATTAAGAAATACGAACTTCGGAAATGTCAGCGTATAGAATGTAGTTGTTGCTGTTTATGAGAGCCACGACTTTGAGTCATATGGCCAGTTTGGTGTCTCGACCGAGATTTGTGATGTCAAAATCAAGGAGGTGGTGCTGTCGCGAGCGCTTAAGCCAGAACCGTCAATCCCAGGCTATGAATATCAGGATAAGACCAGAGTTATGAAAGAATTAACAATCAAAAGTCAACCGAGCTGACAATCCAACTCATGCCAAGCGCGTAGCGTCGAGTTGTTTTCCGTCCATTCAGTTAAATAACCAGTGAGTTCAAGAATGAGGAACAGGTAGGGAAAGGCAAGATAGTCTGGCGCCTCGGCACAGTGCCTCTTTTCCATGAGTTAGCAACCCGATAGTCTGGATCTGCATATTCTCTAACGGGTTAAGTTCCGTTAGTCAGGTCTACGTCTTCCTTCAGTGGCTTTAGTCATCGTTTCTGCGCATAATTTTGAAGATAATTGTGGTAGACACAAAAGGAAGCCATCTGTATGTTGATCTCCTACCGGACCACTTAGGTTTTCGCAATTACCTTGATCAGGTGGTGCGGGCCTGGAACGTTAGGTCGCCAGTAGTGCGCAGCAAGTTGTTAAGAAGAAGGGAGAGCGGACTAGGGTGGCAGAGCTAGCGCTCTACAATGGCGGCCACTGTGTGTACATCAGCGTCACAACTATACTTTCCAAGACACCGCACTGATGAGCCACGGCGTCTAAATTCCGCATTCCGATTGGCTAGCCTCTGAAGGTCAGCGCGGACAGGCATTTGGCAGATGTCTGTCACCAGAATATTATGCATGGCCCGTTCGCGCATTAATTGTTAACTCATGCATGGACTTTGTAAGGTAGACTGCTTTCTGACGTGGTGGTTCCCTGATGCGCGTGAATGTCGGATGATAAGAGCGGTTCATCGAGTCCCTGGTCCCTTTAACAGAAGGACAGATGTCACGCCCACCACGACGTCCCGGCAACCTCTAAAACTCGCAACGAAAGTATGTGCACAGGTTGACCCCGATATAGGTGCCATTATCGGAGGATGGCGTAAGTGTCTGTCAGGTTTGTAAGGTTAGGGGAAAAATGCGGGTGTAGGAACCCTCGTAATGCAGTCGGCATTGTGCTAGATTTCAGGCAGATTGGAATTAGGTTTGGGGTTAGGGTTCGAGTTAATGTTGGCGTTAGGACACAGAAAGAGGCTCACTTCCTGGACTTTAACTTAAAGCCACTTGTTGTACCGGGGGGAGGGGATTCCCTTCCAAGCCAGAACTGTAACGGTTGCATGAGAAATTCAACTGAGTAAACAGCAAAGAAAATTGCAACGTGAACAGCCTGAAGAACACAGCAGTTTTCTGTGAACTTTAATTTTTTTTAATGTGTGTGCAGCTGGGTGTGTTCAAAATCTCTGACATAGAAATTCGAAAACGACTGCCGACAAAGGTGGGCGAGCGTATAGTCGTACCTGCTGGTTTATTTGCTGTGCATGAGACCAGACTGAGAAGATTTGAGGTTCGATTCTGGACCTCGTTGGCTATTCAGCGAGAGCTTCTCATGTTTAGCTATGACTCTAATTCCGTAGAATGCAATCGGAAACATTTAAAATCACATGTGACTGATGCCCCTGCGCACGTACCAACGGCAGGATGGCATACAGGCGCTCCGTTTTATTTTTTGGCTACAGTACAGAGCTCGTGTAGGAAGTCGCCTGAGGACGAGCAGCCCAACGATCAAACAGGATTACTGACAATGACAAGGAAAGTTCAAATGTCTTATCTATCGTTCAGTTGTGTTTTCGTCCGGTTCTAACCGGAGTCCCGAGGTTTGAACCTGGACTCCGCTGAGCCTGAGCGGAGTGAAATTCACTTATTCCTTCTGGTTACAGGACGCATCTGCGCTCTAATGGCCTCCTTCCCCTTAAAAGGATTCATTCATACTTTTTGCACTGCGTATTATGCAACACTAAAAAAACAGAGGTATTGCTGTCTGGGCATGCCTACTCATCTGTTAAGATAAACTAAAAGTTTTGTTGCCTGCGGAGCAAGTCAGCAGCAGGTTGCTGCATCGCCATCAAGCTCTGTCTTTTCGTTTTAGACTGGACTACAAGAAAGCCTACATAATTTACGTTTAGCTGAGACAAAATGTCGGTGGAAGACACCAGCTCCGGAAGTTCTGGTGCCGAGGCAGCAGTTACACCGGCAACAACCAGCGTGGCCCGAATTTTTCTCCTGAGTGGTGGTGTTGCTCTCTTTCTACTTATTGTCTTCACCGCAGTCATCTCCTGCAAACGTCAATTGGCCCGCGCCTGTCGTCTCACGCTTATTGTTCTCTGTGTCATCTGCACAACTGGCTTTTGTGCTTTCCTTCTTGTCTACCTGGGTCTGGGAGCCCGCGAACTGCGGTTAGCTCTCGGCGATCAGGTAGTCCTTATACCCGGTGCCGCCTCAGAGGGTGTAGCCGCCAGTGCCAGTCTCAATATAGGCCTGCATCGTGCCTTCTGCGACAGCCTCACCCTCACAGCTGATCGGCCTGGTCTCCTTGTTTGGACCGTCGCTATCGCACCACATCTTGTCACTAATCGAACCTACGGACTGTTGTTACGGGCCCCCACACCTGGGGGGTCCCCGCTTGTGGTAGCCCTGCGTCTGTCGGCCGGTGATCAGTTACAGGTGTTAGGAGGCGGTGGCGGGAGTGACCAGAACCAGCAGTTGGCCATTTATCAAACAGAATTGCACTGGCAGGAATGGTTGGCGGCCGAAGAGCATCAACCGGCTCACGAGCTGTGCTGTGCTTGGTGGCCGCAACAGCCTATCGCGGAGGGGAACGCCAAACTGATCACTGTTGAGAAGTCGGCCTTGCATCGTCTCGTATTTCGCCAGTTGGCTCCTGACGTTGCCGCAAATGGAGCTGCTGGAGATACACAGTCCAGTCTGAATCTGCGGTTGACGCGCTCCCTCTACCAGGCTTCAGAGTGCGATCCCGTGGTCTGCGATAGCAGACAAAGAGAGTGCGTGTTGCGAGTACTGGACAGATGGTCCATCCTCGACTTTCGCATCGCACCAGGCTCGGAGCAGGTATTTACTAGCGTCCGGGTTCAAGTGGAATGTCAGCGTAAGGACTGGGCAATTGCCATGATTGTGGCTCTAATTCCGCTGGGGAGTCTATTGATCGCGTGGTTCCTCTCACGTCGGAAGACTGCACCGCGAAGACGTGGCCGCGTCAGAGTCATACGACCCGATTTGGGAGAGAAGATGACCCACCGCACCAATGAAGCAGATATCGGAGGACGGCAACAAAACGGCACCAGTGTGGATTTTGTTTGAATGGTTATTACCTTTTATTTCACAGGAAACCTCCTTTTCCGGTTATTGTTATTTCCCACGTTATGTCTAAGAGGCGTCCTAAAATGCCAGGTCCTCATCGACCAACGTCAAGGCGGGATTATTTAAAGCAGGCAAATATTATGACAAATAAAATCTATGCACTTAACAATAGTATCTGACATATGATCTCTGACTATAGGACTGATTTACCTAGTTCGTGATGAGAGTGGGCGTAAGTTCGACTGCTCTGGTAAACGACACACCTTACAATTTGGGCGCTGACTAAATCTTAAATACAGCTTAACACCCCCTAGCCTAGACCTGCAACGCTTAAAGTCCACCAATTCTGATAAAGTAGGCCGACTGCCCAAGTAGAGTTTCTAGAGCAAACAGTCCAGAATCCAACAGATGACTACCAGACTCAATGAATAGTTCTGAATATGACAAAAGTGAAGGTGTGGCCTATGCTGTATACGCACATTTTTCTCTAACAAGCTTTAGTTCTCTGAGGTAAACAGGATCGCGGTCGGATCTCATTTGGTAGCCGTACCTGCAGTAGACAAGCCCCAGCCTGACCCCTAACCTCTAATCCCTAGCCCCTAATCTTAATTCCTAACCCTAACCCCCAACCCCTAACAGGTAAGGCTACGAAATGAGATCTTGCCTAAATCGCTCTCATAGGCTCACAACCCCGATCAAATAAATTATTTAATTCAGAGAAACATTTGGCGAGAATGCGCATGCTTTCGATAAATTCTCATCGGGCCGGTACATTTAGGTGGGACCGAGGTACAAACTGAAACTTGTGAGCGATACGTACAATCGATTACGGTTCGTCTTTTCATAAAAACGGGGTATGTGAATAGAGAAAGGGGGGGGGGAGGAGGAGGCATTGAGTGACAGTGGGGGTTAGGTAGAGACGTGCCACAAGAGGGGGAGGAGGGGACGGGAGCGCGGAGACATGAATTCAGTTAATCGATCCTTGACCGTGGCAGACGCGGAGCGTGCAAGAGGTTCTTCTGCACGCACAAAACCGGCCCCTGTAGCCTGACGGCAGTCTCTTCTGCTGTTGATAGTACGCGGTGACCCAGTTGCTTGGACTAGTTAGGTGTAACCTTGTAAATCACACGGACGGACTCGTTGGAAAGACTAAGAGAATACCTGCCGGCATGGCTGAGGAAAGGTGAAGTTAAGAGCATACACAGCCCCATCCTCGCACACATAGTTGGTTCTGGGCGCCGTGTGGATCCCAACGAAGCCTTCCGTGTGATTTACAAGGTTACACCTAACTAGTCCAAGCAACTGGGTCACCGCGTACTATCAACAGCAGAAGCGACTGCCGTCAGGCTACAGAGGCCGGTTTTGTGCGCGCAGAAGAACCTCTTGCACGCTCCGCGTCTGCCACGGTCAAGGATCGATTAACTGAATTCATGTCTCCGCGCTCCCGTCCCCTCCTACCCCTCTTGTGGCACGTCTCTACCTAACCCCCACTGTCACTCACTGCCTCCTCCTCCCCCCCCCCCTTTCTCTATTCACATACCCCGTTTGTATGAAAAGACGAACCATAATCGATCGTACTTATCGCTCACACGTTTCAGTTTGTATCTCGGTCCCACTTAAATGTACCGGCCCGATGAGAATTTATCGAAAGCACGCGCGTGCTCTCAAAGGCTCTTCTGAATTGCTCCATAGGAATTTTCGCAATTTTATATTACTTAATGTTTTAAAGTTGGAAAATTCCCATGGAAGGACTCAGGAGACCGGTTGGCGAGCATGCGTCTGATTTTGATAAATCCTCGTTGGGTCAGAACACCCACATGATAAAGGGGTGCAGGCAAGACATATTAGTGATAAGGGAAATCGATTACAGTTCGCCTTTTCATACAATTTGGGTGGGAACGTAGTGAAGGGGGTGGAAGTAGGACTAAGAGGCGGTAAGCTAGGGTGCAGTGAGGGTTGGGGGGGGGAGGGAGGGGAGTGGTGGAGCGCATAAAGTTAGCCGAACCTTGACTACTGAAGGCATAGAGTTTGTGCCAGGTCCAACCATGTGAGCAAGACCGGCTTTAATTACCTGATGGCATTCGACTATGTTGTTACCAGCAGACGCTGACCCAGTAGCATAGGGTAGTTCGGTGGGACCTTGGAAATCACACGGAAGACTTCGTTTGGGGCCCACATGAGTGCGAGAATGGCGCTGTTTGTGCTTTTAATTTCGCTTTTTCTCAACCATGCCGTTAGGTGTTCCTGTATTCTCGTGGTCGGACGCCTACTCGTGCGACCAATATAACCTACTCCACAGGGTCAACTAAATGAGTAAATTCACGTAGAGGTGGCCTGAGCTGGCGACCTATCGTTACCTTCTCCGTGCAAAACAGGGTTGATCGAGAACGATACCCGAACTCTTGCCGCTGGGAAGGTTCATGAAGCACCCCGCTCAAGGTGTCTTCTCAAGTGTTCACTCATTGCGTCTCCTTAAAAAGGGACTTTAAAATACAGAGTTTTAGAGTTGCGGAAATTCCCATGGCAGTGTTCAAAGGAACAGTTGGCGAGCATATGTTTGCTTTTGATAAATTATTGTCCGATTTTGGACATGTGAAACTCGCCGTATCATACGATTGCAAAGTGGTTAGCAGAGAAGCTCAAGCCCGTAAAGCGTCAGCTGGCACCCCGTAGCTATCGAGATACCCTCGAATTCACAGCGGACCTCGGAGATCTTAACCTTAAGGGCACGGTGATGTTCTCGCCTGACATCTGACCACTTTACGAACGTTCCGGTTACCGGTACAGTTAATTGCATCTGCTAATTCCTCAACCAATCAATGAGAAATAAGAATTCCGACGAACACACTCAGCGAACCATCACAAAGACGCATATTAAATATGCAGTTCCTTTTAGACAACTAACTCTGTAGACAAAAATACGGCATTGCCATGGGCTCACCTCTTGGACCTCTCCTGGCACACGTCTTAATGGGCAAGCTAGAGAAATTATAACTAAGCGATCAGATCAATACGCTTAAACACTACGGTCGCTACGTTGATGATATCGTTGCAATCACCACCACCACCACCACCACCACCACCACCACCACCACCACCACCACCACCACCACCACCACCACCACCACCACCACCACCACCACCACCACCACCACCACCACCACAGAAACCGACATAACTGCCCTGTAAAATGCAGTAAATCAGGCACATCTGGCGATCACTTTCATGTTGGAGGTGGAAACGGCTGGTTCGCTTTGTCTCCCAGGAGACCTGACAATAGCGTCCGAAGGAGCATCTATCGGAAGAAAACCTGGTCTGGACAGTACACGAACTTCGCCAGTTCCGTACCCCTTCGGCAAAAACGAAATCTAGTCTGATGTTTGACACAAAAGCTCTAAAAATTTGTCCAACAGATAGCATCGAGGAGGTGCTCAGGAAAATCCCGGACTTGCTTCGCGAATACGGGTATCCTGACAGGTTTATCGCAAAGAATATGGCTGAGCGACCGGAGCAAACCACCACACTGACTGCCGAAAAGAAAACGCTGCTCCTCAAGGTCCCTTTCGAAGGAGACGCTGCGAGTGAACTCCTGAGAAGAAGCCTCACAAGCCTTCCCGGCAGCAAGGGTTCGTATACTATTCTCTACTAAGCCTATTTTACGCGGAGAAGGGAAGGAGAGGTTGCCGTCTTAGACCGCATCAATGTGCATCTACTCGTTTACTTGCTCCTATGGAGTAAGCTGTATTGGTCGTACAATTCGGCGCCTGTCCAAGAGAATACGAGAACATCTCCTGGCATGGCTGGGAAAAGGCCAAAATAGGAGCATAAGCAGCGCCGTTCTGGCGCCTGTTGTGAATTCCGGGCATCCTGTGGACCCCAATGAAGCTTTTCGCGTGATTTATAAGGCCCCATCTAGCTGCCCAAAGCTAACGGGCCAGCGTCCGCTAAAAGCATCAGAATCGGTCGCCGTCAGGCTACGAAAACCGATCTTGTGCGCGAAGAAGAACCACGTTCAGGCTCCGCATTTATCGTGGTCAAAAATCGACTAACAAAGCAATTCTTCGCGCAATTCTGCTCTCACCCCGTCCCTGTCATTGACTGCTATTACCTTCCCCCTCCCCATATTCCCATACCCCGCCTGTGTGTTACAAGGAGCTTTAATTGATCTCTCTAACCACTGGCATGTTTTTACTTCTACCCCATCCACATATAAATGTACAAGCTTGGCAAGAATTTATCGGAGGCAAATGTATGCTCGCCAACTGGTCTTCTTATCCGTCGTCAGGGTGACGGGTTTTAGGGGGTCTCGGTAACAGCCTTTCCAATAAATCCGTCAGGATGCCCGTTCTCGCGAAACAGTTCCTTTATTTTCTAAGCTTCTTGTCGATGCTGCTCGCTGGACATATTTTTCTAGCCCATTTCGCCAAACGATGGACTAGATTGCGTTTCAGTTGAAGGGATACGAAACTGCAGAATTGAGTATATTGTTCAGACTAAGGTTTCTTCTGAACCTTACCACCAGCACTTCTGCTTACAAGGACGTCTAAGAAAGAGAGTGAATCTGCTGTTTCCACCTCCACTGTAAGCTTGATTGACGGATGTGCCTGACTTACAACATCGGAGAAGGCAGCTGTGTTGGTTTCTACAACTTTCCACCAAACTATCCTAAGCCACTGGGTCAGCGTCTGCTAGCAACAGCAGGTAGGACTGCCATCAAGTTCCTAAAGGCGGTCTTGTGCACACAGATGGGCCTGGCAGAAGCTCCACGCCTTCCGTGGCCAAATGCCGGTTAATTGCATATACCCCTTCGTTCCCTCCCCCTCCCCCCCCCTAACCCTCATTGCCTCCTAGCTCATTGTCCCTCATTACTTTCCCTTGTTCCCAAATCTCACTTATATGAAAAGACAATTGTTATTGATTGCTCTTCTGACTCACATGTTTTATTTGTATCCCGTTCCCATATAAATGTGCCGGACCGACGAGAAATAATGTAGTATCAGTTGTAGGGCTTTTCCTGACTTTAAATCCTCTGCGACAACTCTCCGCTTTACGAGAAATGAGAGACGAGGGAAGACAAGCAGATGCCAAACACGGTGACCAAATCTCGATTTTACCGTGTGTTGCATGCATGTCTGCCACCTGATAGTATGACGAGTTTGAGGACGGTTCACATCTGCTGACTGGATAGTCACGCATGGAGAGGCACGAAATAGATATTCGACAAAATATAAATCCATCAGGCTGAAACCAAGAAAAGTTATATTTCCAAAATACTGCCTAAACTCCCAGTTCTGATAGCACATGGATGGTCTTTTAGGGTCTCTAACTTCTGCTGCTCTGATGGGAGTTTTGCCGCCCACACGGAATTTATGCCGCCCCAACTAGGGGAAAATGATTAATTGAGACGTAAAACACAGTTAAATCACGAATGAAGGCGAAATTTCGAGTTCCAGGTGTATACATATTTGAAGAAGAAGAAGAAGAAGAATCGAGC